AGAGAGAGAGAGAGAGAGAGAGAGAGAGAGAGAGAGAGAGAGAGAGAGAGAGAGCACCACGAGAGAGAAAGAGAAAGAGCACCACGAACCATGTAGTGAAGCAAGCACCGAAGAAGACCTCCATTCAATTACTGAATCAGGTGGCTCTCCATGCACTGAACTAACAGCCTATACAAACACCGAGTCAATCATAGACTGAATCACCGAACCATGAACCGAACCAATCACCGATCCAAGCACCGGCCCATCCACCAATGCAAGTAGCGAACCATGTAGCGACCCATCCACCAATGCAAGTAGTGAACCATGTAGCGATCCAAGCTTCGAAACAAGCGCAGAAGGCAAAGAGGAGAGAGAGAGAGAGAGAGAGAGAGAGAGAGAGAGAGAGAGAGAGAGAGAGAGAGAGAGAGCAACATTTGAAAGAAAAAAAAAGACGTATCAATTAAGTATTCGACATAAGGCAATCATCATATGAAACGTTTCGCAGCATATAGCAGAAGTTCAGTGACAATTGACACAAGCGTGATGTATTAAAATACGTGCACGTAGAAAACAAACAAATTAACCATTGAAACATATAAGTAAAATCGAATAAAATTAAACGAAAGGGACTAAACCTCATCTTCTTCTGCAATAGCACTTCGGGCACCCTGAACACATTAAACGAAAACAAAAACTAATTTGTCATTCCATATATGTGATGCAACGAAAGACCATTACAAAGCATCATACCATCAACATGACAATGGCGAATACTGACTTTCCATAACTACGACAGTTGGACAATTCGAAATAAGTAAAGACCTAGTCCGTTTCTTTTAACAAAGGACCCCAAATGATGTGTGAATGAATAAGCAAAGTGGACAGAAATGAACTACATTAGCACATCTCAGAGGAGAACAATATATTCAGACGAAGTAGAAAGAACGAAAGAAAAATCACATGTGCTTCAATCACCTCTACTATTTCAATCACCCTTCCCCACCTCTCCTCCGCAAGTCGTCGCTCACCTTTTCCGTTATCATCATCCTTTTTCCGTCGTCCATTATCCTCCCCACATTGTCATCCTCCTCCTTTGCCCTCCTCCCCGTCCTTCGCCTGGCCGTCCTCCAGCTCCGCCATCGCCCTCCTTGACCTCCGCCGTTGCTCTCCTCTACCTCCCTCATGGCCATCATCCAGCATCGCGTCCTCGCCATGACCCTCTGCCACACAGATTATCGTCGTTGCACCTCCTCCCTTCCACATCAACACCTCATCATCGTTGTCCTCCCTGTCACGGCTCTCCTCCTCCCCGCCATCGCTCTCCTCCTCCAGCACCATGGCGACCGTCGTCCGTCCACAAATCTTGTCACCCTCCCGCATCTTTGTCCTGTCGACTCGTAACCATAACCACGTCACCCCAACCCTCACGTCCTCTTCCGTCAAGTCTTCTTGTCACCATCCACGTCGGTGTCTGTTGGACTTCTCCCCTTATCTTCGTCATAGAAGGGGTGAAGAGCAAATAGAGCCAAAATGAGGAGAGAGAGAGAGAGAGAGAGAGAGAGAGAGAGAGAGAGAGAGAGAGAGAGAGAGAGAGAGAGCGAAGGAGGCCCGAGCCAAGCACCGAACTAGTCGGGTTTGTAACCAGGAACGGACAGAAGCACCGATACAAGCACCTATCCAACCACGGATGCCTGCACCGAACCGAGCACCGAACCAACGACCTATCCAAGCACTGAAGCAACCGCAGAACCTAGCAACGAACCAAGAAAGGAGAGAGAGAGAG